GGGTTGCTCTCAGCCGTTCCGCTGAGCAGGGAGAGTGTGGCTCCTTGACCGTTAGGACGGAAGGAACCTCATCATCAACCGGGAGGAACTTCTGTTGAGAGAAGGGACTGGGGAGACTCCGTGTGTTCCCTCAGAGCCACTGGGGACCAGGAGGACGTTGGGAGGGCTGCTCAGAGGGCGGACGGTGCCCGAAGTGCATGCAGTTACAAGAGCCTCTTTTTCAAAGTCCTGAATCTTGGCAATAATAGCAGAACCAGGAGGGGTTTGGGTTTTTTCTGCAGCCTTCATTCACTGTAAATGAAGTTTAAGAATCAGCATGTGTCCTTCTAGGTGTCTCACCTACACTGTGACAGAGATGGTTTGCCACGTTAAGAAAATAAGAGGTGGACACGGTTTCCCATTCCATCCTGCACCTCTGCCCTACAATTGAAATGTCCTGTGTCAGCTTGTTTGTAAACTAGCTTTAAAAGTGGCCCAGGTGGAATGAACATATGAAGCAAAACTGTAATTTTCTTTTAAAATGATTTGCAGTTGATTGAAATAAACATGAACAGATTCAACAGATTTTCATGGGAAACCTGAATTTTTATTCCAAATGAAAGTGTTGAGAAAGTCTCAGGAATTGCCCAATGAATTTGCCTAGTTGCTGCTAGAGAATTTTTATATAACAAGTTCATGGACTCTTCTCCTGGCTCAAATTCTAAACACCTTTTAGGATTCTCCCAGTAAGCGGTTTACAAAAGTGCTAGGTGTGACTTCAACAACTGCAGGACCAGTATGATGTAAGTCAGAGAAGCCGGGCTGAAGACTCTGAGTGGCCACATTAAATTACTCTGTGAGGAACGTTGGTTTGGAAAATCTTTGACAACAATTCAGCTTTAGTCCAGAAAAAAACAAAAAAAAAGAAATGAGGAGATGGTCCTCTGGGTCCTCATAAGGATGAAGTTTAAGATAACAAGACCTGACAAGTTGGAGGAGTAGAATATGGGGAGAATTTCAGAGGAAGTGGGAAGTTTGTGGAGACACTGACTGTGGAAGACCTGAGGGTACAGGGGAGGTGCAGGAGTAAAAGGGGAGGGAGGCATTGGTGCTGGAGGGAAGCCTGAGACACACAGGCCAGGGAAGGGGAGCCCGAGGCTTCATAGGCCCAGTTGTCTTTCCTTAATCCCTGTTTGCCTCATTAATCTTATGATCACGTTTTAGAACATGTTACTTAAGGTCCCTAAACAAGTGTCTAAGGCACAGAATAATGAGGGAAATAGGTTTTCCATTAAATTTTGAAGATTTGTCATATTTCACCAACTTGGTTTTAAGAAAAGTAAGTTTGAGGTTTTCTAAAGTCCCCCATAATGACAATTGGCATGTACATTTAATGGAAGCATGAATCGCCTTTCCCCAGGTCTGTCCATTTCACTACAAATATCCACAAGGGAGGTCCCTGGGTTTAAAACAAAAACTCAGCTGTGGTTCCTACTGCAGAAGTGACCTCAAAGCACTTAGATAACTTGGACCCCATTTCTCAAGGTGATTTCTGGAGAATAAAGGAATAATTTCCAAGCAGCCTAAAGGGTCAAACTGCTCAAATAGTGCAAATAGCCAGCAGGGCTAACACCAGTCAGGTCTAAGGGATCAGTCTGGCTATGAAGGAGCCAGGCTGAAGGCTGCTCAGCACAGGCCCAGTAGATCAGCCCCTATTCCCAAGGAGTGGGAGGAATGGCAGCCACTTCCAGCTGGAACATTTTGGTTTCAAAATCAAACTGAATGCCAGATACTTAATTGTATAAATATAAGGCCTTATGTCAGAAGGATAAACCTAAAAGTAGTTCTCAGACAAAGCCTGCAGAGCTTCTTACTGCACAGATGTAGAAGCTGGGATCCAGGAGAATGATTTAGACTCAAACTCCAGGGTAGTTGAGAAACACAGAGCACAGCCATGGGCCCAGTGTGGGTCCCACACCTGTTTGGTCAGCAGCCTCACATTCATACGGGGTGTTGTCTGATTCCAAAGGGCCGTGAAAACGTTGACCTGACACAAAGAGATGGCCAGTTATTTCTCCAGCAAAAAGAAGTGTTGTAATCTAGGATCAACTATGATTTGCGTTCCGGGCCTGGAATCACAGTGAGCCACCTGCACGGCCTAGTATACACGGGGATGAGAACTATTTTGCAGATGGGAATGGATGTTGGAGGAGGGGCTGTAGTGAACAAGGCACCCAGGGCTTCTCACTGGCTGAGCTGTGACCACCCCTCACTGCCTGAGTCCTTGCCAGGAGGGAACAGGGCATCTTTCTTCTTCACACAGCTGGACTCGTCTATCCTGGTAGGACATGAGAGCCCACCGTGCTGTCACCAAACTCTATTTAACTGAGGTTTCTCTGTACTCAGAATTATTGTTATTTTTCCCACTTTGGGAGATTGGATCATTTTTGTTTCAGAAGCCAGGATACCCTACTCAGGCAATGCTGGGTTTATGAGTTCAACTTCATGGTGAAATAAAAGTGAATCATGTGGATGACAAAAAATGACTTCACGTATTAGAGACACTCATTGGAAGGAAACTCCACACCAGATCTGGATTATGCAGGTTTTTATATTTAAGCCTGGAGATGGAGCAGAGATCAGACAGTGGCTAATCTGAGAATCCAGAGAGCAGTTATGTTGTTCCCAGAATGTTGAGATGTTCTGAACAAGGAGCTACATGCAGATGAGACTATTATCCAGACCCCTCCCCATGTCTGAAGAATAAAGGATAAAAATGTGATAATTTTGTAATATAAAGAGGATACAGGAATAAAGCAACATTCTGCTGATGGGACTAAAAACTGGAGCCCCAACTACAAAAAAACTGCCACATTTTAGAATTTTTAGCATCAACTCACCATGAAATGAACTCTTCCAATGCTACGTATCTGACTGGGTGAAATTAAAGCTCTTGTTCACTGGAAACACAGTGTGCAGGTGCTCGTGGAGCCTTCACACATGCTGTAAAGTGGAAACAAGGGCTAAACCCAGAGCTCAGTGAAGGGCCGTGTGCTGATGGCATCTGAGGTACTGTTAAGCCCTGCATTGCAGCCCTTGTCATGGGATCCAAGAAAACAGAGTCGCTCACTCATTACTGGACAATACGGGTCCTCCATGTTTCCTCAGATGCCAGCAGTTTCCTGTCCCAGGATTATGTCTTGTGTGTGTGTAAGACAATAACTTGGACAGAGGAGGGTTTGGAAGCAGATATGATAGAAGAGTGTGGGTCTCTGCATATGTGCATGTGCACCTGTGTGTGCATGTGTGTCTGTGTGTGTCCCTGCACACAGACGGGAGCCCTGGTTACTTGTGTGATGATGGATATCTGGACTTCCATCATCCTTCTGAATTGGAACAATATCAGCTAATTTTATTTATCAAAATCACCCAATTCTATAAAGAAAGGTCTAATAGGATTATTTATTCAAATCAATGTCTTCCCCATCATCAGTGGAATCTATACCCAGGATTCTGACATTAATATTCTCAGAAGCGTGTGAACCTCGGTGCAGCCCAGCCCTTCTGAGGACAGTGCTGCAAAGTCAGGATGAAGCCTTGGATTCTGAACCCACATCCCTAGTGTTTCTTGGCTCCTGACAGATCTTCCCTGTGGCTGAGGTCTCAGTGCCTGTTTCATCATCCACCTTTCCCCTAGTCGTGCTTCCCTACTTCTGGCAGCTAAGACCCTCGCCTGTATGGATGAGTCTAGACAAGAATCCTTCAGGTGCTGCAGGTCTGCGGTCAGAGGACAGCACAGCTGGGTGGGGAGTGGTTGTGGTGCAAGAAGCAGTTTGAAATGATGAGCCTGAAAGGGGTGGGAATGGCCCTCAGTCTTCACACCTGGCAGTTCACACTCTGAAGTTTAACACCTGGGATATTGCAGTTCATCCATGAATTCCAGTTGAACCTTCTCCAGCTCTCATGCCACCTGGAGACGTCAAACTCAGGTAGGGTGAGGCTTGGTCACATTTCTCATATCACATAAACTTTCTATCCCACTATGTGTAGATTTCAATGTGCAACACTGAGGTGAGATTTATAGCACATTGTGTAGTTTGTAACTTGCATAAAAATAAAATTACAAAGTATATAAAAAGTATTCATTACAGCCCAATCTCAAGTAAAGACATTTTCTTGAATGTTATTATTGATAGAAATGCATTGAAATGCAGAGACTGTTGAAAACATTCCTCATGAACTCTGCTTACAGATTATTGGTCAACACAGTAACTGTCAAAATCATCATGAACTCATCACCAAAGGGGGTCTTGTCCAAAACTTCTTGATGCTGACTCTGCATCACTTATATCCAAGACGAGGAGCACAGGTGAAAATGCTGGACAAACTCTCACCTAACATGTGTCCCTGCACAGACCACAATTCGGTACCCATCTGGGGGCTGCGTACATCACCACCGTGAGAGGAACTCTGACACCGACATCACAGAATCCGTAAGCACACGTAAAAAAAATTCAAGTTCTAAGTGTTTACCCTGAAAACTCACACAATAAACATGATGTTTCCAAATGCTACCAACACCAGCAAACCACAGACACTCACAGCTGCTCAGGGGCCTGGCCCTCTCTGAGGCCAGCAAGGCCCTGACTTGCTATGTAGTGAGATGACATGCAAATAGGGCCTCCCTCTGAGGATAAAGCCACCCGGCCCTGGCCCTGCAGCTCTGGGAGAGGAGCCCCAGTCCGGGATTCCCAGCTGCTCCCATTCTCTGATCAGGACTGAGCACAGACGACTCACCATGGAGCTGGGGCTGAGCTGGGTGGTCCTGGCTGCTCTTTTACAAGGTAATTCATGGAGAAGGAGACATACAGAGGATGTGAGTGGTCGTGAGTGAGGGAATCAGAGGACGTGTGACAGTCTCCTGACCAGGATGTCTTTGCATTTGCAGGTGTCCAGGCTGAGGTGCAGCTGGTGGAGTCTGGGGGAGGCTTGGTGCAGCCTGGGGGGTCTCTGAGACTCTCCTGTGCAGCCTCTGGATTCACCTTCAGTAGCTATGCCATGAGCTGGGTCCGCCAGGCTCCAGGAAAGGGGCCCGAGTGGGTCTCAGCTATTAATAGTGGTGGTGGTAGCACAAGCTATGCAGACTCCGTGAAGGGCCGATTCACCATCTCCAGAGACAACGCCAAGAACACGCTGTATCTGCAAATGAACAGCCTGAAACCTGAGGACACGGCCGTGTATTACTGTGCAAAAGACACAGTGAGGGAAAGTCATTGTGAGCCCAGACAAAAACCTCGCTCCCTGGGGCATCCACAGCCCCCAGGGGGTGCTCACGACCCACCAAGGGCAGGACAGAGCCCCAGGAGCAGGTGCAGAGGTGTGGGAGTTGTTTGCAGTTAGAATCCTTGGTTTCCTTTTCCCGCCCATCAACTCTACTACAGACCCTCTGCTGGATTCTAAATTTTCATTGTTGAGGTATGTGTTGCTTTCTGACAATAATATTTGTAATCAGGATGTATTTTTACAACTGAAAAAAAGCTCCAAACAATGTTAAACTTTAGTATAATTTTAAAGGTGACTCAGCAATTTTC